TCTTTAAATGGTAGAATTGGATTGTTCATGGAATTTGAGTGGTTATGAGATAGACTGTTTGGAATTAATCCTCATTTCAGTTTAGATGCAGGGTTGTTTGATCTCGACCAGAAGATAAATAGAAGATTATGCACAGCAGCAGAATACCAGAAAGAGAAGGTATGTGAACATGAAAAGGACATTAATGTTATATGCATATATAAATGTTTATGTCAATTGTATATTATACTTTAGTAAAGATTTACCTATATTGTGGTTGTGTTTTCACGTATTTATGCGAAGTCTTAGAGTTTATTCAGTGTCATAATGTGTATTAATGAGTTTGAGCGTTTTAGTGTTCTAATGACTGATGCGTTTTAGAAATAAGTGATGGGTTCTGGTAGGGATAGTCATTGGGACAAAACAGTTTATACAGCAAGTGTCTGAAGGTTACAATAGAGTGACAGGTCCTATTTCTAAAGGTAAACTATTCCAGCATGTTCCGTACTAAGTCTTTATGCATCCATGCTGCTAGTTTATTTATAGTTTTCAGATTGCTAAGGGTGTTGAAGTGCGTCTTTTAGGTGCTGTAGTAGGTTAGTAGTTGATTCGTTCTAGGAGTAAATAGTTTATTAATATAATCACTAGAGTGAAACAGTCTGTATAGAGAGCGTTTGAAGCTCAAAACCGAAGAGCAAGTTCTGACATCTAGGGGTAGGCTATTCCATATTTTAGAATACATGACTGTGAAGAAGTTTTCACGGAGTGTTGACTTAAAAGAATGAGTTGTCACTGTGGAAGTTTGGTTACGCAGATCGTAAGAACCTTCCTGTGCGAATTGTATGTCCCTGTTACCTGAGAAAGATATTTTGTAAAGGACCTTAAAGAAGAACATTAAGTTTATAATAAGTCGCCTTGTCCAAAGTGGGTCAAGTTTTAGGATCACGCAGCGTGAGATGCAGTCTTTCTTACAATCGTAGCGAAGTAGTTTTGAGGTAAAATATCGTTGGATACTTTCCATCCTTAGCTTGTCGCGTGTGCGAGTGCTGCTAATAATAAATGGACAGTATTCTAGTAGTGGTCTGACACATGTTTTGTACAGAATAAGCTTGGCTTCATTGTTGTGAAAGTTCCTGAGTATGCATCCTAAGAGCATCCTCGATTTTCTAGTCTGTGATGCTACTTGCTCTGAGAATGTCAAGTCACTAGAGTGCCTCAGGCCTGGGTCAACGACACTTCGGTGTCTGGTTAGGTTGGAAGATTGAAGCGTTAATTCCAGGTCAATTGAGGGCGCGCCGAAGCAGATCCAGCCACATTTGTTCAGATTAAATTGGAGATTCCATAGGGACGACCAAGCAGTCATTTTATCTAATTCCTCCTGCACTACATTCTCGAAGTTCCCTAAGCCATCACATTGGAATGCATAAGCTACTTTTAGGTCATCTGCAAAGATGAATGGCTTCCCGTGCGTGAAACAAGCGCATATGTCATCGATGTATAGTGTAAATAGGAGGGGTCCAATGACACTACCTTGTACTACACCAGAAGTGATAGGGCTGGGTTTGGAGGTTGCAGACCCGAGTTTGACTATTTGGGACCTATTGTTAAGGAATGATTTAAGCCATCCTAATAATGGGTCACGTATTCCTAAGGAGTTCGGTTTATTTGTTAGAAGTAAATGGTCAACACGGTCAAATGCCTCTAGTGCCCGGTACGTTCAAATCAGGTGACGCTTTGGCACGTGTTTTCGCTTATATTCATTTATTGGTTACTAATAATTGATCTTTAATAACGATGGTTCAAAATTCTAAAAAGCGTGTTCGTGTGAACACCAGTAATTTAGAAAATAGCACCGGCTCGTCTAATAACACATTACCACCCCATATTATTAGTAGTTCACCCAACATAAAAGCCTCGAACATAACTCTGACCCCTGTAATACAGGTGGAAGATGTTCTGTCTGAAAAAGTAGAGCTCTCTTACTTAACGTGCGTAATTAAAGAGATGCAGCTACAGATAGATGAATTAAAAACGAAATTAAGTTCCCTAGAATGTATACCTGAAACTATCTCACGTATGAAAAAAGAAATGCAGGATCCTACAATCCTAAAGCTTTTTAATATGACCTCTAGAATGACTCATACTGACTCAGAAAATGCGAAGGAGTTAGAAAACGCCATCGACTTTCTATCCAGCGAAGTTGTTAAAAGGCTGGCTTCAAAACAAAACGCAATAGTATATAATGTACCGGATAGTGAGCCCATAAAGTCAGTCCAGCACTCATTGCTGAAGGCTGCAAATCTATTGAATGCACCTTGTCAGTGCATTCGCCTAAGCAAAAAAGACCTGAAGTATCCTTGTCCTATACTCTTTAGGTTCGACAGCTACATAACAGCTGAACGATTTAAGATGGCCGAAGATCTTCTGGCTACTGCCACTAAATTCAAGACTATCAAAGTAGTCTCGGATAAAACACCAAACCAAAGGCAAGCAACCAAGAACTCCTTCGACACAAAGTTGACAACACTGAGAAATACATCTGGTATCAGTGCTAAAGAGTCGACGGACACTGAGGCACAGCAAGTCACGTGTATAGTGTTAGGAGAAAAAACGGCAAGTAAGAGCGACCCAAAACTCAGTAAGAGCAGTGCCACTGGGTGCAGTCTTAGAGTGCACGAGAGCACATCTCGAAAACCTGCTGACCTACATGAGGTTGACATAGACGCACAAACTATGGCTGACCAGAAACTCTGGCAGACCACACTCAATCTGGATCCAAGCCAGAGAGTCCCTCAGTAGAAACCGCAAAAAAGACCACAAAACCCAGAGTCCCACCCCAGACTTCGACATACCTCCCTCGTAATAAGTCAAATAAGCAGCGTGTCAGTCTAAAAAATGACAAAGCATGGGTAACGAAGCACATTCCCAAAGACGTCACGCAGCATGCGAGAAGGAATACCCCTTCCCGGACTAGAAGTAACATGCCTAACAACGCACATAACTTGGGAATGCAACGTAGAATGGATCCTCGGGATACATGGGGCACTAAACGGGACTCATATAGGCACCATATTAACGAAAATTCTCGTCCAGACTCCCGCACTATATATGTTAAACCTCATCAACATAATGAGAACAGGTCGACACTTGATCCCCTCAATAACTTCACTCACGCACGTGACGTGAGCCAATATGCATACGGCTATGAAAGCCCCATGAGGTACAACTACCAGGGTAGTCTTAACACAGGGTACCCAGGTCCAGCAAACTACAACCCAAATTGCAGGGCAGACCATATATCACCAGTAGATGAACGCAGATGCCGACCCATGGATGCTAATAGTCAAAATATGCAACAGGATTATTTTCGGCTGCAGCAAGCAATAGCCCCCCTCGCAGCACAATTTGTCCAGGGAATAGTAAACACGCTGACAATGTCTCATATGAGGATTCCTCCGAACATAACATAGGCAACCAGGAGTTAGGGATAGTAACAAGAAAACCTACTAACTATCCCAACAACCCTGGTTTTCTGAAAATTATGCTTTTAAATGCTCGATCTCTCCTTAACAAAATAACTTCCCTTCGCAGCTTGGTATACATGGAGCGGCCAACACTGATTCTGGTAACTGAAACTTGGCTTACTATTGATATACCTGACACAAAGCTGATAATTGATAACTATAACATCCACAGGAATGACAGAGTAGACAAGAGAGGAGGCGGCTGTCTAATATATGCCTCTAAATCCACTAACTCCAATACCTTTACAAACCTAACTATCGACAAACTCCCAGAATCCAAGTGGATAAGCATCCACACGAATGAAAATAACATTCTTGTGGGATGTATATACAGAGCCCCTAACAGCCCTATAACGACTGATACGGTTATCGGAGAAATACTAGAGGTTGTACCTAAGCTGGAATTCGACTACAAACTAGTTTGTGGCGATTTCAACCTCCCTGGAGTGAACTGGGATACCTGCACTGGACCGAGAACCTACGAGGTGATCCTAGAAGCCATAGATGTAGGAGGATGGAAGCAGTGCGTACGCCTCCCAACACGACACAACAATATACTCGACTTAATCCTCTGTCACAAAATAGAGCCGATCTCGATAGAGGTGAGGGATAAACTCGACAACAGTGACCACAACATACTGTACTGCACCCTACCCTTACAACTAACAACTAAACACACACCTAAGAGTTCCCCGGTTTACTATCAATATAGGGACTATCGAAATGCCGACTGGGAATTCCTACCAACGCTCTTGAGAAGCTCAGACTGGGGTGAATACTTCACCAATAATAACTTAGAAGTAATACTAAATACCTTCTACAAGACAATCAGTTCGGTAAGAGACACAATCGCACCCCTGAAATCTGCCCTAAAGACACCAACTCTGTTCATAGATCGCAAAACGCGAATAAAACTAAGGAAACTAAAAAGGAGATTTTATTTATACAAAGAATTTAATGCATTACACCTGATACACGAAATATTTAAAAATTTAGATGAGAGACATAAAATGAAAGCACAAGTCGAGGAAAATAAAGCCCTAGAGGGCACCTCTAAAACCCAGGAACTCTGCAAAATCTTGCAAAAACGGCTGAAGAAGGGTGAAGAAAACAATATCAGTCATTTAGAACACGAAGATATAATTTATGATGATCCCCAGATCATTAGTGAACTCCTGAGTGAGTGGTTCTCCAATAACACCAAAGCACATCCGTCCCCAATTCTCGACATAACCTGCAAAAATAACTACAAGTTAGGTGAAATAAACTTTAATATACAAAATATAGCATCGGCGGTAAGGACATTAAAAGCTAACAGTAGTTGTGGGATAGACGATATACCATCCGTCATATACAAAAACGGTGGTACGGATATGATTGTATTATTACTTAGAATATTTAATATCTCACTAGTGACCGAAACCTACCCTGAAACTTGGAAAAACACATATATATTACCTAAGCATAAAGGAGGGGCCAAAACTAGTGCATGTAATTATAGGCCTATCAAGGATCATGGAGAAAGTAATCAAAGACCAAATGTCAGACTACTTTCTAAAACATAAACTCATCAACCTGTCACAACACGGATTCCTCAAGAAAAGATCTTGCGTCACTTGCCATATAGACTTTTTCAACGAAGTCACCTATAGAAGAGATAGGAGAGAGCTAGTGATTATCCTCTATTTCGATATAAGGAAAGCCTTCGACAGAGTCCCACATAGTCTGTTAGTCGGTAGGCTATGCTCACTAGGGATACGCAACCCCCTCTACAATTGGATAAAATCATTTCTGTATGACAGGAATCAGACAACTAAAGTTGGCTCAATGACCTCCAGACCTAGACCAATCAGCAGTGGTGTCATCCAGGGGAGTGTATTGGGACCCCTTCTTTTCATTATATACATAAACAGTATATGTGAATGTTTTAGTATAGGCAAGCCAATACTGTATGCAGATGACTTGAAGGTGACATATACCTGCACAAATACAGATATCGGCCCAACTATGAACTCCATACATGAAGAATTAGCAAAAATGGATAGATGGTGTGACACGTGGAGACTTGAGTTTAATGTTGAAAAGTGTGGATGGCTCTGCATAGGCTGTTCCAACCTTGACCTCAACCTAGCAATTCAGGGCCACAAAATCCCCAGACTCAAATCTGTACTAGACCTAGGACTGAAATATTCACACAATCTATCATTTTCAGAGCATATCTCGAATCAAGTGTCGAAATCACGAAGGCTTATTGGTTTCCTACTCAGGAACTTCTACAGAAACGAGTCCAGAATACTACTGTACAAGGTATGTGTGCGCCCACTCCTAGATTACTGCTCATTCATATTCAGCAGTACACGCATAGAAGACAAACTGAAAGTAGAAGGAGTACAGAGGTACTTCACGCGAAAAGTACTCGGAACCGATAACGGCACAAACTACTCTACCAGATGTGAAATCCTGGGACTAGAAACATTATGGTTAAGGCGACTGCGACTAAATCTGTTACTCTTCTATAAGCTTCTTAACCAAATAGTGTATACCCCTGCTAACTATACTCGGTCCTCAGGTAACACAGGATACAACCTTAGGCACACTAAAGGTACAGTGGCTATAGAACCATGTAAAACAGCCACCAGGCAAAAGTTTTTCTTGATTAGGTATGCCCAAATATGGAACAAACTACCTGAGAAAATACGACTAGCAAGCACATTGGCCTCCTTTGAAAAGGCACTTAATGACACACTAAGTGAGTTTGTAATTGATACCAATGGTAATTCCCATGTAAGAGTTTCAGAAATCATAGGCCCATTTAATGTATGAACTCAGAGACTACACCTGTTGTTTGTTTTGTCTCTATTTATAATTCCAGACAAAAAAGCAGCAGTCATGACAATAACACCCATTCAACCAAGAGTCGATCAAACTATGTCTACCTGATACAAAGGGCGAACCATAATCAACATACGAATGAAATATGAGAAAACAAGGTAGAAACTTACCGCAACACCACATGAAAAGATAAAAGTTACTTGGATATCATTTATAATCCACCAACTGGTCTCCTACCCAAAAAGAATGCGGCGATGTTTTATCCAAAAAGGCGAGGAAATACATAAACCCACAGCAGCTGTTGTTAACACTCAGTGGGGGTAGGAGCCAACAAAGTAATCCTTTCAAAGCATATGTATACTTCAAATGGACACGGAGACTTTGTAGAATACGTTATAATCCAAATCACTGCCTCTACAGCGCCAATAAACCTGGATATCTATGATATAACGAAAACATGCTGAAAGCTGCATCTCAGATCAAGTTGACTCATTCCATGGTAATGATCTCCTCCTGCGTGCCTTATTCGACATATTGAATGGAATGGTTCGCAGTTATTCTGGTACTAGATCGAAAAGAATAAAAAATTCACCGGTTGCTGAATCAAAAGTACTTCTCTGCATGTTTAACTGTATTCTAACTGCTATGATTAATTCCAAACCATTTATCCCATAATCACTCAAATTCCAGGAACGATCCAATTCTACCATTTAAAGAAGCTGGCGGACACGATGTAAATGAGTATTCATGATCTGAAATTAAGGAGCAACTGGTTTTCAAACAGCTTTTCAACATTTTACTCAACTTACGAGTACAGTCCGCCATGCAGACACAAATGGAGCAAATGGAGAATACTGGAATCGACCTCGGCACCATTTCATGCAGTAAAACAACCCAATATCCAATATCCTGATTACGAGCTAGTATAAACCAGTGATTTCTTTGAGCTCGCTTCTTGATTGTGAGGTAGAGGTTCCAGATCTTCGGTGAGCTTCTGCGTAGTAAGTCCCGACACTCGACTGCTTTAGCTCTGGTAGACTCCAGGAGGAGTGGTGCGGGGATTGGTCGAGATGTGGTTTGTAGTATGCAGTATGTTAGGACTGTATTGCTGCCGTGAATGGAGTTTGACCTAACTCCCCTTGGTCATTCGGTGTAGTCATAAAAGCAGAATAGTAGTAATAATAATAATAATAGGTTGTAGTGTAGATAATATAGGTTGAGATAAGTGGAATAATAAAGGTGACCTAAGGAAAAGATAGAGTGAGAGAAGGCAGAATAGGTCGTGGGGATTTAGTTTGTACGCTTATTCATTGACAGTTTGGTTTCAAATTTTATGAGGATAAGCCATTGAGACACAAACCTTGCATTTCTGCATGATTGTCTAGCTTCCGCTTAAAAATCTCCAGAGATGGCGCTGTAGTCACGGCCGCCGGTAAAGCGTTCCAGAGACGGCAAACACGAAGCGAAAAGAAATGTGATCGCACTCGAGTCTTTGGTCTCTGGTGTGCTATCCTTAGCGGGTTACCTCGTGGAAGCCTATAATCGCTTAATGGCAGGATGCTTTTATTTGGGTGGGCCTGGTCATTTAGGATCTTGTAGACGGTGATGAGGTCTCCCCTGTGCCTACGGTAACTAAGTGTGAAAAGACCTAATTTCTTTAGTCTTTCCTCATATGATTTGTTGCGGAGGCCGATCACCCATTTTGTCGCTCGTCTCTGGACACTTTCTAGAATGTTAGCATCCCTTTTGAGTAGCGGAGGTGCAATGATATTATGCACCTCAAGGTGTGGCCTCACATATGCCTTGTATAGCCTTAAGAACAGTTCGGGAGTGAGAGCTCCCAGCTGCCTGTGCATAAAGTGTAATGTTGCGTAGGCTTTGGCGACGTCCCTCGAGTAATTTCCACTGGTGTCTAGCTTTTCTGTTAGAATAAGACCTAGATCACGCTCTGATGGAACACAACTCAAGTTCTGGCCACCAAGGGTGTAATTTACACTCTGTGACCTGCCGGAATGAAGCTGCACTACTTTGCACTTCTTTAGATTGAAAGGCATTCCGTTAGCCAAAGCCCAATTTCCCAGAGTTTGCAGGTCAGCCTGCAATCTATCTGAGTCTTCCGATGAGTTTATTGCTCTCCAAATCTTTACGTCGTCAGCGTAAAGAAGCGCAGAGCAGTTTAGTTGGGGGGCAGGTCATTGATAAAAATCAAAAACATCAACGGCCCTAGGATAGAACCCTGAGGAACCCCTGATGCCGAGGTGTGCCAGGATGATCGGATGCGGTTGACTTTGGTGCAGAATTCTCTCTCGCCTAAGTAATCTGTCAGCCATGCGAGAAGTGCTCCAGAAACTCCCGCCTTGCCTATTTTGTGAAGGAGCAGACCATGGTGAACTGTGTCGAATGCTTTCGCAAAGTCGAGAAAGATCACGTGGGCTGGTACCTTTTTGTCCCAGGATAGTGTCCAATCGTTCCAGGCTAGTAGAAGATTCGTCACGCAGGATCTTCCCCTCCTGAAACCGTGCTGTGCTTCGTGAAGAAGGTTAGTCCCATCGAAGTATTTTCTCATGTGGTCGTCAATGAGACTTTCCAATATCTTCGATACCACTGGAAGTAGAGCAACTGGTCTGTAACTGGTCACATTCTGCCGGTCACCACCCTTGAAGATAGGGGATAGGATTGCACGTTTCCATTCACATGGAAGTTTCCCTACATCAAGGGAGTGTTGGAACAGATCACTTAGGGGTTGACAGAGACTTTCTGAACACTGCTTCAGGACAGATGGTCTGATGCCATCACAACCTGGAGACTTTCCCGAAGCCAACCTTCCCAATTTTGCAAGTACCATAGCCGGGGTAATTTGAAATGTCCCCAGCAGGTTTTCGTGTGTTGGTTTTGCGATGTAATCTGGATGTTCTGTAGGGGTAATATCCTCGTTACTATTTAGTTGCCTGTGAAAGGCTAGGCTGAATGTCTCTGCCATTTCAAGACTAGTAAGAGATTTCCCATCAGAACCCACTAGATTGCATGCTCCCTGGTTGGTCGGTTTTCTTTCGGCCATAAACCTGTATAGGCTTTTGGGGTTCACGAGAAGCTTATTGGCGAGGTCTCCCTGAAATGTCCTTCTATCGCTCCGGACTCGTATGTTACATCGATTCCTGAGTTCAAGGTACACTTCATATTCGGGTTGACTCTTCGATCGTCGCCACGCGAACCAGGCTTTTCGCTTTGCCTGCAGAAGGCGTTGTGTCCCCTTTTCAGCCATGATCGTTGCTTCCTAGCTTTTGGTGAGACTAAAGGAACAGTGTCTGAGACCGCCTGGTGAATGATCTCCTTTACCACTCTCCAGTGTTCTTCTACTGTTAGCTCTGTCCATTTTTTAGGCCAGTTTGCTTCAGACAGAAGTCTTCGCATTTTGGTATAGTTGGCTTTGTTATAACACAGATAGGGCTGTGTATTGTCCCACTGTAAGCGCTCGCGGAGGACTATGTCGAATACTATGACCGCGTGGTCACTACTACCTATGGGAGTCGTGATCTGAACGTTTTCCACTAGTAGCTGGTCACTAGTGAGCACGTAATCCAGTCTAGAAGACTTCCCATCAGGGCCCCATCTAGTATCCATCTTGACATTTTCAGTGAATCCAGCCTTCCTGATGGTATGCAGCAGATTTCGATCAAATCTATCATGGGCTTTTCCCGACACCAAGTTAAGAGATGGGGCATTGAAGTCACCAGCTATGACAATTTGATCATAACCCATGTCTTGAGTTGCTGAGATTGTATTTAGCAGTACCTGGTTGTGGTCTGCTCCACATGAAGGTGATCGATAAATGCTGCCCACTAGATATTTGCAGTACCCAACGGTGAAGTGGCACCATATGGAGTCAGGGAGCTCTGTGAGGGGAGGGTCCGTCGCGTGAACACATCTGAGCTGTTTGTCGACGTATATGGCGACTCCACCTCCTTCTTTCAGGTCCCTATCTCGCCTGACTAGGACCATATCATTTATACTGACTTCGCTGTCTGCCACCGTAGGGGTTAGCCAGGTTTCCGTCAGTATTATGATTTTGGAGTTTAGTTGTGATTGTAGGTGTCTAAGTTCAGCTATTTTGCCTCTTAGCCCTCTCACATTACTATACAGGCAACTGGTAGTCAGTCTCACCACTTCCCCGTATTGGGGGGTAGTTGACTTGATATTGGCTATCGGTTGAGGAGTTATCCTACGAACTAGTTGGCCGATTCCCCAGGAACCGGCCTGTTGGCGTTTTTTTCTTCTAGTTCAGTTGGAGCACTCGGATGACACTGGCTATCATCGTCCGTGCTGCACCGCTGTAGTGTGACTAGGGGTTGAGGATTTTCTTTTACTACGCTTTGTTCTCTCCTTTGAGTGCGAGGCCGGCTCTCGCAGCAGCGAATGTGTTTGCTGACCTTGTCCTTGGTCTCGTACCATCTATGGAGAGCGGTAGTCAACTGGTCTTGGGAGCTGAACTTGACAGCTAACAGACGTGGCGAGTTAATTGACATAAGATGAGTGGGTCGAGGCAGTCTATAAATAGAGACAGCCCCTGAACTTCCCAGGGCCATCTGGGATGCTAACCATCTCCATTGTTGTACATCATGACAATGCTTTTCGCAGGCGTTCCCAGTTACCAGTTCGGGAATGCCATGCACAACCATGGAGGCAGAAGGAATGAGCTCTGGCGACTCCCTCGCCATTTGTCTTTCCTTCCACGGCCTGTCTGGCTTAACACGTATGTTACAGGCCCTCCCTATAGAAAGGACTTGAGAAGCCAGTAACACTTTTTCAACATCCTCGGTAGAGCCCAATGTTACCCTCAGTGGGGATGGTTTGCCTTCAGGTGCAGCAGTGCCCCTATACAATCTGCATAGATTTACTGGTTGGATGTCCAAACCCAGTGTGCTACTCAAGATGGACCACTGTTCCTGATCAAATAGGGCCCTATCTTTCAGCAGACTACTGCTACAGTCTGGTACATTAAAGAGGATTACACAATTTGATCTGCTAACCGTGGGCTTGGGCTCGGTCCTCGCACGTTTGTGATCACCTTTAAGACCGTTTTGGTTTGACTGGTGCGACTGGGTATTTTTATGTGTCTCAGTGCTATAGCCAGCATTACTGATAGACGGTTGGGGTCTTTTTCCAACGACGGAAACCCGTGGTTCTCCAGCCTCTGTGTCTGGAGCGGTTATGGCAAGAGTTACAAGTTTAACCGGTGAGGATTTTGGTATCCCCGGTTTACGCGCGTTTGTACTAACTTCCGGATTGGTGGGGGTCGAGCTTTTCACCTTTTTCCCCGCTACTTCTGTGCCATCTTTAGTTTTCAAAGGACTACGCGAGGCTACATCAGGACGGCAACTCGGGCATATGTACCAGAACCATTGGCATGGGTTTTTACGCATAAAGTCATAATATGCTTTTGGTACCCCACTGTCGCATCTGCAATGCACCCATCGGTTGCAAAAGTTACATTCGAAAGCAGAGTCTGCTTGTTCGACAACAGAAGCACAGACCTTGCAGTCGTCTGTCTTCTTGGGGAGCGTTCTTGTCGTCTTGCGACGTCGTGAACGTTTCTTTTTGGCCTTCCTATTTGTTTCATGGTCTACCATGGGGATGGGTGTTATGAAGTTCTCACTTAGTGCAATTTTCCCACTCGGATCTGTTAACCTAGTCGTGTTAACAGGGGTGGAGCCACATCCACTTGGCTGACTTTGCACAGCTTCACTGTAGGACTGTGG